AAGTACGGATAAGGTCTCTGGTGCTACATAGTACATCGTTCCCTCACCTCACTCACCTCTTTCATCTATTTTCTACTCCCTCCGTCCTCGAATAAACTTCCAAATTTTCTTTTTTCATCCATCCCAATTAAACTTCAACTTTCCATTTTTGTTAAAGAATTTGTGGTTCACTGCATTTCTTACATATTTATTTCTTCCCTGTACAACTCTCCACCACACAAAACAACTGTCTTAATTCTTGTGGCATTTGTACTGTGGAAGTTTTATTAGGGCGGAGGGAGTATTTATTTTCTTCTCATTCTTTTTCATTTCTTTATTATGTAATCACTATATCTCCTTTTCATCTTTTGATTTTATTTTATTATTATAAAATTAAAAAATCACTTGAGTGACAATTTACCAAATTATATCTTACATCGTCAAGTTTTTCTATATATGAAAAATAATCAAGAATGAAAACACACCGGAAAACAAAATTGAAAAATTAGTAAATTCAAATGAGTGCTTGTGCACGGGCATTAGTTGTCTGTGGGCAGACAAAAAATGTCGATAAACACATACATTAGTTGTTTGCGGCAGACAAAAAAGTTGTGCAGACAATAGTTGTCTGTGCGTAGACATTTATTTCCGTGCAACAAATAGCTGATTAAAATACTATTCACATTGATTTGCGTTCTTCTTTTTGTAGAGACGCCCATGTCAATTTCACACAAACCAATGTTTCTGCACATACGAAGTACATTATTTGTCCATGCACAGACATTGGTTGTTTGCAACATACAAAAAATATCTGTGTACAGACAACTAATGTTTGTGCACGAGCATTGATTTGAAATTATTAATTTTTAGATTTAGAAATTTACTTCGTTTTCAATTTATATTTTTCTTATAGACAATTTATAGCGATATATAGAACGGCACGGATAGCCACTTCTGCGGCTATTCATTTTCCATCTCCTGGCGGCTTTCCAGGGACTTTGAAAGTTCGATCATTTTTCCAGACTTGAAAGATAAAAAGGGTAGAGATATAGAAGAAGAAAGTATAATGGTAAAGATAGAGGATGATTATTATATTAAAAATGAAAATGCGTTCAAGAGAAACGGAGGGAAAATGAATGGAGGAGGAAAAATGAGACAAATTATGATAAGTGTTCATTTTTAAAAAATCCTGACTAATATTATTTAATTAATAACATACATTTCATACTCTCTTTGTAGGGTTGCCGCTTGGCCGCTAGAGTAGTTTTACGATTTCCGTTTTCATCGAGGACGAAGACCAGCGTGAGTCGCGAAGAAGACCGGCATGAGTCGCGGACATAAGACCGAGGCATGTAACGAAGGCTACTACGGAGAAGGCTTTGGCAATAGTCGAAGTCGTGGTAGCCCCCAGCTTCGAGCTTCGTCTTCGGCCAATGGAGGAGGTTCTGTATCAATATAAAAAGATGGCTATTGGAAAGAAAACATCCATTTGAATTTTGATGAAGAGGAAGATGGAGATTTTGATTCAACCGAGAAGTGGGCTGAGTTTCCAGTGGTGGGAGACTGGGAGTCATCCTCACGGATCGGAAAATCAAGTTTCAGGCTTTCAAGGATCTGTTGGCTTCAATTTGGCGGTCAGGTAAAAAGAGTCCATCAAAGAGAAAGACGATAAAAGGTATTTGTTTACTTTTTATCATATTGTGGATATGAATCGTGTTCTTGAATATGGTCCATGGTTATTTGAGAGAAATTTATTACTGCTCAAGGTAGTTGGACCAGATGATATTCCCCATAAAATGAATTTGTGCGAAACTGAGTTCTGAGTGTAAGTGCATAATGTTCCTTATAGTTTTATGAATATAGGTAGCGCTAGAAGAGTGGTAAACTATATTGAGGAGTTTATTAGTTTTGATGAGAGCCACTTTGATGAGAAGTGGGAGTCATATTTGAGAGTTAGGGTGAGATTAGACGTAAGGAAGCCTCTAAAGAAGGGTTATACTTTTACGACAGGTAGTATTGGACATTGGGTCCGGTGGATTTTAAATATGAAAAATTGCCTAATTTCTGTTTTATTTTTGGGGTGATTGTACATTCTGATAAATTCTGTCCCTTGAAATATGAGGAGGATATAGTGTTGGAAAAATCTTTTGGGGTAGAACTTTGAGCACCGGTGGGGGAAAAAACTAATTCGACAGGGGGCAACAAGTGGCTAGTGAAAAAACCTTCAGGTTCTAGGGTGGCCAGACAACAGAAGAGAACAGGTCAAGAGGGTTAAGGTACTTGGGAACAATGAGGGCGAGAGTCTACAGTTGGTACTGATAATAGTGTCTGTTGGGCCATGGGTATGCGGTGCCAGCAACAGCCAGCCTCCCGGTGCAATCGAACCGCGTGGCGCTTCGCATGTGCTATAAAGGGGGGGGGGGGAGCGTGCTACACTATCAGCGATTGCTTTTAGTGTAGCGGTAAGCGCAACGATCCACAAGTGGTATCAGAGCCAAGGTCACGGGTTCGACCCCCGGCAATAGCATGCTGGGCAGTTGTAGGCTGGCAGGTGCTGGGGGAGATTGTTGGGCTGTGGGTATGCGGTGCCAGCAACAGCCAGCCTACCGGTGCAATCGAACCGTGTGGCGCTTTGCATGTGTTATAAAGGGGGAGGAGCGTGCTACACTATCAGCGATTGCTTTTAGTGTAGCGGTAAGCGCAACGATCCACAGTGTCACCAAAGAAGGAGACATGGATAACGTTGAGGAGGTGTCAGTGGACCAGAAGCGCAGAAGGATTTGGGAAGAGCTGCTACAATAGGACCCAGTTGGCGAGAATATGTCTCTGGATAAAGCAAAAAATGGGGAGGCGGCGGGTCCTGGCTTCTAGACCCGCCGATTATGCGAGTGGGGCTCCTGCTGATAAAAATTTTGCTTTTATTTTATTGTTGTTTTGCATTTTAATTTTCACGTTGAGATTGTTGTTTTTTGTTTTTATTTTATATGGTGTTGTAAGACTTTTGCATTGGGATTGAGTGGTGAGACTTCTGCGATAACTTTGAGTTTGGTTTAAGAGCGGATGATTACATTTGATTCTTTTGTTATTTCAACTCCTATCTGAATATGGTAATATCAATCTAAACCTCTTTCTTCCAAAAAAAATGAATAACCCTTATATAACCCACATGGTTCCAATTTCCAAATCACCTTATATATAGATTACAAATGCAAACCCGGACTGAATAACCCTACATCCGTTGCTTCTCCGCGAAGGACTGTGAAGCCGTCGGAGATGGATGGCGTCATTCCATTCATTCCGATAGAAATCATAAAAGTCATTCTCGAGCGACTTCCGGTAAAATCCCTAATCCGATTTCAATGTGTGTGCCAACTGTGGAAGAATCTCATCAAGAGCCCATCTTTCGTCGCCAGCCACCTGGTCCACTCCAACCGAGAAAATCCCTCCCTTATTTTCGAACGGTTATTCACCGACGATTACTTGGCTCTATATTGTCTCGACCGCGACATGCAACTCCGCCGTGTTCAGAACGATCCTTTGATCGATTCTAGCAAGCTCTGCTGGATCCCCGGCGCCTGCAACGGCTTGCTCTGTGTTAGAATCGCTCTCTCTCTTTACTTGTGGAATCCTGTTATCAGAGTGATTATACAGGTGCCTGAAAGCAAAACAATCAAGGATTCCCTTTGGATTTGTAGTTTGGGGTTTGGATTCAGTCCGACTGTTAACGATTACAAAATTGTGGTGATGTGTTCGACGTGGAATGATGTGGGTACTGGAGTTGTAGTTTATTCACTAGCCACGGATTCGTGGAAGAACCTAGAAACTGGTTGCTATTGATTATTATTATTATTATTGTAACATTTTATTATGTAACGTTTTAGCATGTACGCACATACATAGTCCACCGCCTAGTTATTTTAGGCGCATAGGATACTAGGTCATATTCAACTCCTATCTGAATATGGTAATAAGATACTTTTCTTTTTATTGGATGCCCAATTTCTCATGCTTTCTTCGTCAAGAAGGAAATGAAGAGGGTTGTATATAGTTGTGCGACAAAAATGGGTGAGCAAAGCACTTTTTCACCACCCACATGGTTCCAATTTCCAAATCACCTTATATATAGATTACAAATGCAAACCCGGACTGAATAACCCTACATCCGTTGCTTCTCCGCGAAGGACTGTGAAGCCGTCGGAGATGGATGGCGTCATTCCATTCATTCCGATAGAAATCATAAAAGTCATTCTCGACCCCTAATCTGATTTCAATGTGTATGCCAACTGTGGAAGAATCTCATCAAGAGCCCATCTTTCGTCGCCAGCCACCTGGTCCACTCCAACCGAGAAAATCCCTCCCTTATTTTCGAACGGTTATTCACCGACGATTACTTGGCTCTATATTGTCTCGACCGCGACATGCAACTCCGCCGTGTTCAGAACGATCCTTTGATCGATTCTAGCAAGCTCTGCTGGATCGCCGGCACCTGCAACGGCTTGCTCTGTGTTAGAATCGCTCCGTCTCTTTACTTGTGGAATCCTGTTATCATAGTGATTATACAGGTGCCTGAAAGCAAAACAATCAAGGATTCCCTTTGGATTTGTAGTTTGGGGTTTGGATTCAGTCCGACTGTTAACGATTACAAAATTGTGGTGATGTGTTCGACGTGGAATGATGTGGATACTAGAGTTGTAGTTTATTCACTAGCCACGGATTCGTGGAAGAACCTAGAAACTGGTTGATATTGATTATTATTATTATTATTGTAACATTTTATTATGTAACGTTTTAGCATGTACGCACATACATAGTCCACCGCCTAGTTATTTTAGGCGCATAGGATACTAGGTCATTTATTGCTTACCTTTTATTCTCCTAACTTTTAGCATGTACGTAGCTATCCTTTTGTATATGGCCTTGCGCATAAGTGTATATATGGCATGGATCGATTCATTGATCACCATGCGGAAATAATAATCATTTCGCTACCATACTTTCTTTTGAACATGGTATCAGAGCAACAATAATCTCGGACCATACATTCGCGTACCGCCATCATCAAGGATGGCCGGAGAAGCAGGAAACAATGGTAACGGAGAACGACGGAAAATAAATGATCCGTCCCCTCCATATTATCTGTCTAGAGGACGGGGATCCACTGGACGAGGACGTGGACGCATGGCGGGCTGTCATGCACTGCATGTGGGAGATGGCCGTAAGGAGTTAGCCGCACCACAAGAAAGCAGCAACGCCGTTTTGCATAAGCCAGGCTTTACGGATGAAGAGTGGCAGACTCTTCTTAAACTGATGGAAAAGTGTAAGACCACTCCTACCGAGGAAAAACTCTCAGGTATGAAAATTAATAATGAATGGATTTTAGACTCCGGTGCATCCTATCACATGAACGGAAATGGCAGTGCACTGAGGAGGATGACAAAAATTGATCCATTAGCCGTAACATTACCTAATGGTGTTGTAACCCATGCTACACATGTTGGAGATGTGTGGATGAATTCACAGTTAACCTTGAATGATGTTCTGCTAGTAAATGGGTTACAGCGCAACCTTATTTCAATTGCACAATTAATTGATAAACGGAAATGTGATATATTTTTTACAAATGATTTATGTGTAATACAGGACCTACTTACGAGGACACCGATTGGAGTGGGTGATCAACGAGGGGGAGTTTACTACTTTCGGAGTCTGGATCGTGTGCAAATTCATGCTGTGGAAGGGTCTGACTCAGGTGATTTGTGGCACTCACGGTTGGGGGCATCCGTCAATTAAAATTCTGTGTTTAGTTAATTGTTTGAATAAAACAGTATTACATTATGTTCAAAATAAAGCCTGTGATGCATGTTTACGAGGCAAACAAACCTGTGATATTTTTTCTATTAGTAGTGCTCGTGCTGTTGAACATTTTGAGTTAATACATTGTGACATTTGGGGTCCGTATCGTTTTCCTTCTACTTGTGGAGCTCGTTATTTCTTAACCATAGTTGATGATTTTTCTAGAGCTGTTTGGGTCCATTTAATGCAAGATAAAAGTGAGGTGAAAGCAATTCTTAAACAGTTCATTGCCATGACTAGTCGTCAATTTGATAAAATTGTGAAGGTTGTTAGAAGTGATAATGGCAAGGAATTTATGAGCTTACGAGAATATTTTCTGACCCAAGGAATAATTTTTCAGACATCATGTGTTTATACCCCACAACAAAACGGGAGGGTAGAACGGAAGCATAGGCACATATTGGAAATGGCTAGAACACTACGATTTCACGCCAATTTACCTATAGACTTCTGGGGTGAATGTGTGTTAGCCGCCGGGTATTTGATTAATCGATTACCTACTCCTATCCTAGACAACAAAAGCCCGTATGAACTTTTGTATGATAAACCTCCGGCATATAATCAACTTCGGGTTTTTGGATGTCTGTGTTATGTTCATTCTAAAGACAAAACAGGTGACAAATTTGCACCGCGCGGTGTGAGGTGCGTTTTTTTGGGATATGCTTATTCGCAAAAGGGGTGGAAGGTATATGATTTGGAAAATCACAAGCATATGGTTTCTCGTGACGTAAGATTTGTTGAAAATTCTTTTCCATATAAAACTATGGAACTTAATCTGGATAAGGATGCACGAGATGGGCATAATTTGGAGTCATACATACATGCATGGACGGATGATGGTGTGCATGACACACCTAGTGATGAAGACACGCGGCAAGGAGTAACTTTCCCAGCTGACAGCGCAGACACAGATCACATGCATACGTCCACGGTAGATGACGAGCACTTTGTCGTAGTGTGCGTCAAATTAAATTCACTACTAAGGGCTAATGCCGTAGTATAGCGTAGTAGAGTTCGTATCCACAGGGAAAGAAGTTTTTCGCGTATGTGTAAGCGTAATAAATAAAAGTAAACGGAAGGGGGAATTGGATATTTTGATAATTGAGAAAGAAAATAAAATACTTAAATGAGTGAAATAAAATATCAAAGGTAATTAGTCTTGGTTTTGCTTTTATCCACTTAATGAAATGTTCGTCGATCCCGGTTATATCTTTAACTATCTTCCTCTCGAATACTCAATCGAGGAGTATATCCAGTTCATCGAGGGTAGTTATTAATAACGAGACGCGTTCATTAATAAAACTTACTACCGAATTAATATAGAACACGCGCCGTATATTTACTCGATAGTAGCAATCAATTCAAGATGAAAACGATTGAAATTGATAACCTCAACACAAGCGGTTTATTGGTTTAATCAATATAATTAATTCCCCTTAAATTATTAACCATGAGACGCATGCATTTATAATCCAAGTTTACTACCGTGAAAAGATCGAATGATTAAAAAGCGTATTCGTCGATCGATTCTAGTAATAATTAATATATGAGACAAAACTAGTTGATCCTTTAAGTAATGCTCAAAATATTAAAATGAAATATGAATAGGAATTAATTAATATTCAAGGAAGAATATTAAAGAAGATATAAATCCTACTATAACTAATGTCAAGATGTTAACTAATTGTCATTTTAGTAACACTCCCCAACATTAATATAGAGGAAGAAAATAAATACTACTCTAACTAATGTCGAGATGTTAACTAATTGTCATCTTAGTAACACTCCCCAACATTAATATAGAGATAGTATTAAGGGAAAAATTAATATTCAAGGAAGAAGATTAAATAAAATAACTCACAACTTACAATTCATTAAGCTTCAAAGTAGCAAAACCAAGATGGAAAGACTACCTAAATTACAAGAATAAAGTGTATATGAAAGAGAGGATTAAATTGGTATCTAAAATAGGAAGAAAAGGGGTGTTTTATAGGAGAAGTGAGGTGGTTGGGTCTAAGACATAATCTGATTTTCCCATGTTCATTTGCTTTATTTGATCTCTTATGATCTCTGGGTTAAATCATATCCGATTTTTCACATTTCTTTGTCCTCTATGAAGCTTCCTCTTGTCTCCAATGCTCCTTCCTTATGCTCCCAAACTCCTTCCTCTTCTTTTCATCATGTTTTTGCTTACATCTCAAAATATTTTAATATCTTCTAATTCTACTTTAATTTTAGAAGATAAAGATTACACCGTAATTGTACAAAAGCTAAGTAAACATAATGTAAAATCATTCTAAAATGTGGTGTTTATGCACTACTAAATAGTATGCATCAGTAGACCAAGACAGTGCACAGGCGCAGGGAAATTCTCAGGCCGGATTGACTTCCACGTCGAATGGTCAGGATACTTCTGGCTCAATTCCGCCAGCAGACCAATCCAGAAAAGGGCAGCGACACCGTAAAGCTCCAGCATGGCATTGGGATTATGAAGTGCAAATGAATATTGTTACTATAAACTCTCCCCACGTCGTTGATCCTGCTTCATCGGTTGAATCGGGTACTCCTTATTCCATATCTCATTATTTAAAATATAATCATTTTTCGGTTCCGCACCGAGCTTTTCTTGCAGCCATATCGACGCATAAGGAGCCATCCACCTTTGGCGAAGCTCTTCGTGACCCCCAATGGCGAGACGCCATGCAACGTGAAATACAGGCCTTAGAGCAAACTGGTACGTGAAAAATTCAAGTCTTGCCTCGTGGAAAGAAGGCAATTTTTTGCAAATGGGTCTTCAAGATCAAATATAAAAGCGATGGTTCGGTAGAACATTACAAGGCAAGGCTTGTAGTTTGCGGTAACCGACAGGTACAAGGGATTGATTACGCCGAGACCTTTGCCCCAGTTGCTAAAATGGTCACCGTTCGTACCATTCTAGCGGTCGCCGCATCATGTCATTGGGAGCTACATCAAATGGACGTCGACAATGCATTTTTACATGGGGACCTTCGCGAAGAAGTATATATGCACTTGCCTCCGGGGTATAAAGCCTCCTCTTCTGGCAAGGTATGTCGCTTGCTACGCTCACTTTATGGGCTTAGGCAAGCACCGCGATGTTGGTTTTCTAAACTTAGTGCTTCTTTACGAGCATATGGGTTCTGCCAATCACATGCCGACTATTCACTCTTCACGTTACGAAAAGAAAAGCGGATATTATGTGTGTTGGTTTATGTGGATGACTTACTCATTACTGGTAACGACGGGAACATGATCCGAGAATTTAAAAAATACCTTGCGGCTTCCTTCCCTGTGAAAGATTTGGGAGTTATGAAATATTTTCTGGGAATTGAGGTTGCCAGAAATTCCACTGGAATTTTCCTATTCCAACGTAAATATGTGCTTGATATTTTAGCTGAAATCGGCCTGACCGGAGCAAAGCCCACTTCGTTTCCAATGGTCCAAAATCACGGTTTGCAGTCTGACATTGGACCTTACTTTTCTGATCCGGATCGCTATAGAAGGCTAGTAGGGAAACTCATTTATCTCACCCTAACCAGACCTGACATTAGCTATTCTGTTCATATTCTTTCCCAGTTTATGCAACATCCAAGAGTGGCACATTGGGAAGCAGTGTTACGTGTACTAAAATATTTGAAGGGTCACCCCGGACAAGGCATTCTCTTACGATCATATTCTACTCTCTCGCTCACGGGGTTCTGCGATACTGATTGGGCGACTTGTCCGGTCACATGTCGTTCTGTAACTAGTTACTTTGTTTCACTTGGAGATTCTCCCATCTCCTGGCGTACTAAAAAACAGGCGACTGTTTCACGCTCTTCAGCTGAGGCAGAATACCGAGCAATGGCCACGTTGACTTGTGAACTTATTTGTCTACGAAGTCTGCTTCGCTCATTGGGTATCACGCCCTCCACACCGGTGCGTCTCTATTGTGACAATTAGGCCGCTCTACACATTGCCTCAAATCCTGTGTACCACGAACGCACCAAACACATAGAACTTGATTGTCATTTTATTCGGGATCATATACAGGCCGGAACTATCACATCCTCGTATACACCATCTACTGAACAGCCTGCAGATCTGCTCACTAAAGCCCTTGGCGCCAAACAATTCTCTTATCTACTTGACAAGATGGGCATTTGTGATCCCCATGCTCCATCTTGAGGGGGGTGTTGATTATTATTATTATTGTAACATTTTATTATGTAACGTTTTAGCATGTACGCACATACATAGTCCACCGCCTAGTTATTTTAGGCGCATAGGATACTAGGTCATTTATTGCTTACCTTTTATTCTCCTAACTTTTAGCATGTACGTAGCTATCCTTTTGTATATGGCCTTGCGCATAAGTGTATATATGGCATGGATCGATTCATTGATCACCATGCGGAAATAATAATCATTTCGCTACCATACTTTCTTTTGAACAGTTGCTATATGGGTATACGCGTTAAGGGCACGCATGTTACTGCTAATAATGGGTATCTCTTTTGGTTTGCAAAAAAGAGTGGTTTGGATATTCATGGGCAGCGTTATGCTCAGGTCATACTTTCGTTTGATTTAGCAATGGACGAGTTTAGATTGATACCACTGTCTCCTGTGCCTAACAGGGAGAACAGACTTGATACGCTGACTGTGTATGAGAACAAGCTTGGCTTTTTTTCACTCTCTGATGCAAGATTGACTAGAAACGCTACTATTGATTTGTGGGTGATCGAGGAAGGCATTGGTGCATCTTGGAGTAAGGTATTTACTCGTGGCCCTTATCCATACATGGCATTCCCGTTGACCATTTGGAGGAATCAGTTCGTCTACGATGTTTCTAATGAAGATTCAGTGGAGGGGAACGATGCTAGTGGAATTCATTTGTTGGATCCCACTTGTAATGAAGTCAAGGTCTTTTCTGCGTCCATATGTGGCTACAGTCATGAGGTCTTTAGCTATGTTGAAAGCCTTGTACTCAACAGCAACATCTACACAGGAAAGCAATGATTTTAAAGCGTAACCGTTGTTGAATAGTTGTTGTTACCATTGTTGTTGATTTTCATAATCTAATACTACGGTCAGGGGCG